TCTGTATTCATAATATATGGGGACATAGTACAGCTGACATTTTATAGGAGGCCTACTATATATTATCACAATTGTTCAGTACAATTGTGGCAGTACAGCAACTATCGGATACATTTATGTCAGATTTTCAAATAAACAAACGATGACTGAGTTTAAGTTGCTTCTTCAAAGTCAAGAGACTTAATGATCTAAGGATCCTGATTTCAAATCCAATGGTCTTTCCCCTTCCCTGCTAGTTTTAGTAACAAAATGGAGCCAAGAAAATTTTGACCACTGACCTGAAATTCTTAAAACTGTCATCTGTTGATTGTTATGCTTACAAATACTCTCAAAATTCCCTATCATACTTCTTCACTATTTAAATTCAGACAAGTCTGTTTCATGACATCATAACTTTCTAAAATGTCTTATAATGGACGTTTAATGAATTGTTAGTGGCATAAATGAGTATTTGACGCCAGAAAGTAGGTCGACAGCCATAGAGAATCAGCACTATTATAACTCTAAAAACTGTAAACAGTTAAAAGTTATTAAAATATTCTAAATAGTACCATATAGAAGTACTTTCATTTGCTGAACAATTAAAGATACCTTGGCTCTATGAAGTTTAGGAATATTACATTTAATAAAAGCATAAAAGCACTGGGTGCATCTCAAAGTGTTCTCATATCATATAATTTGGAAAATTAAAACTGATTTATAATCTTTTAAATAGGCCTACCTTCAATATAATTGGGATGGTATAAAGGGCACAAGACATTTTGAATCTAGGTCAGTAAACCTTGAAAAACAATAATATTCCCTTTACAAGAATATTAAAATTATTGAATTAATTTTGCATCCACCAACACCCAGAGGACTAATTTTATTTTGGACAAAAAAAAAAAAAAAAAAACCTACACAAAAAACAAAAGCAGTTCAAACTTGCTCTTCCACTTATCAAGCACTTTCCTCATGCTTTCAAAAGTTCACCACTATGAGAGATGACCCTGAAAACAGATAAATTAAAATCATTTCCCAAATGCCAAAAGCCAGAGAGAGCAGAGGACTAGTCCCAGGGTCTTCTGATTGGCAACCTTGTTTCCATTCACATTTGTTTCCTCACAAGGAAATAGACAAAAACAAATTACACTGTTCGCTTGGTTACCGGACTCCATCTCTTCAGCTCATTTCTCAGTCCCATTACAGACTAGTTCTGTTTGAAGGAAAGCCATTTACTAAATTACATGAGGTTTGATTTTCTTCTTGTACTGAATGACGTTATTTTCTTCCATTAATTGATTCTCTAATAGGACATTACCTCGGGGAGAACATTAGCCCCCAGTGTCATTGAAAAGACTCACTGGACACCCAGGACCCACCACCTCCCCTTCTTGCTCTTCGGGGCTCCAATGCAGCGTTAGAAACTTAAGTGACCAAATGCTCTGCTTAACTCCTTTGGCATAAAGCAAAAAAGGAAATCTTCCGGGTTGTGCGTTGACAAATAACAATATTAATTTACACAGTCTATCTTCTCCGAGTGCAAATGGATATGGAGTTGATGCAACAGAAACATTGCAAGAGAGGCTGCCATCAAAGGATGAGCGGGGGCTAGATTCAAAAGGATATGAGAGAGGCTGTCGGTGAAACAGCCTACAGAGAAGACAGGTGTGTGGAGGAGACCTTCCTGTACACCTGAAACTAGTAGTGACCCACACAGCTGTGATTTATTTTTGGAAGGTACACTTCTCTAACCAAGGATGACCTACTAGCACTTCACCAGAAAGAGAAAATGTAAGCAGATGCCTGTAAGTTCAACTAATTAACTAGGCAATTCACTTCCAGCTCCTCATGATTTTGGCTTAGGTAAGTGTTCTGTGTAGGGCTGAAGTGGATTGCAAAAGAGATGAATAGCTCCGTTCTTACCTTACATTTTCGTACAAAAATGCTTCTATTTCATATATGAACATCCAGTAATAGATGTCTATTAATAATGCTTGAGTAATTTTTAAGGTAAAGACAATGATTTTAGAAAGTAAAAAAAAAAAAAAAAAGCTTCAGGAAAGCAGCCCATACATATTACCATTTGGGAACCTGCATATACATAGATTCAAACAGCAAATGCACCGTGAATCAGACTCAAGTTATCCCTTGAAATTTATGAGGACAGACACAGGGGCCAAGTTTGGAATACAAAGATAAATAATTGCAGAAGTTAAGAGTTATAGAATCTCCTCTCTGTTGACAATTAAATCCAGACTTGACAATTAAATCCCACCCTTACTTCATTAGATATTAATCTTGCAGTGGAAATGAGAGGCTTTTAAAGGAGCATTTCTGCTATAATAAAAAAGGCTTTCACTACAGTAGAACAATAATGTTGTGTTGAAAGTTAGAACTATTAGACCTTGTTAGCTAATTATGGTATTGGCATCCACTTAAGTTGCTCAGTTTTTCACTTCTGTCATTTTCTCCCATTCAACTGCTGCAGTTCAAAACGTTTTGACTACTTAAAAGGGAATACATCATCTTTGCCTTTCCCCAGTCTAACTGCACACCACTTTCCAAAGCAATAGCTTCAATCATGCTTCATAAAATCCCCTGCAAGTATATTGTTGGAAACATAAATCAGCAAGCTGGGATTTTAGTATTTCTAAGGCAAGCCCAGGGATCACTAACTGGAGGCTTGGCCATGGCCCCATTTATAAAAGAATAAACAAAATTATGAGTTACGCTAGATCCATTTTTTTTTTCCAAAGATTGCTCCAGTGGTGTGGCTGATACTTGCTTCTGCATCCTTAATAGGAGAACAAAACACTAACCTAGAAAACTGGACTCCGGGATCAGAACTGCTGTTTCCAAGCATCTCTGACTTCATTAGGACACATGCATAGGACTACCTGCTCAGTTTCACAAAAGCTAGGTCTCTCTGATAAGCATCTATTCCTCTATGAGGGCCATCCACGCATTTTTAAAATCGCACTAGATATAGAGATCTTTAGGACGACGCTCTCTCCTCCTTCCCTGTTTCGTTACACTGAATATAGGCTCTCTTTCAGGCATGCTTGATTCTTAGAGTCCCTCATTACAATCTCCCTGCAATTCTGAATTATAAACTAGGAGAACCACAATTTCAGAGGTTACATACATAGACCCAAATTAAATGTGTCTGCGTGTGATATTTAAACATTCCTAGATTCCCCTGTTGTCCCCCAAATTCCAACACACTTATAGTGTCTATAAGTGTAAATTCCCAGACTCCACATCTGAAACATATTTCTTCTCCAAGCCAGTCACAATGTAATCATAAGTCTGCATAAACTTGCTTTCTATTATGCCCCCATCTTAATCCACACTAGCTACACTCAGTTAATTGCAGTGGTATTTTAACTGCAATTTTCAGGGACAGCTTCTTAGGACTCACTGATACCTGTCTGTATTATAAATGAACAGTTAAACATAATCAGCAGCTCTACAAAAATTAAAGCAGCGTGTCTGTAGGGCATAAAGTATATGTTGATCTTTGCTATAATAGTGATTAAATTAACTGGCCTAATACTAGCTTCAGATGGACATATTTGCAATTTTGCTATGACTGAAATTTTGCATACGCTACGTTACTAAGGGGAAATGAGCAGTATCTTACCAAGACACTTTATAAACTATAGCAACATTCAGTGTTTGAATTCTGATTTCTGAACCTAACATCTGCATCCAATCCTTTTTCATCAGCCACTAACACTATATAGCTTTAGGGAGGTGAGGGCAGAGAAAGGAAGGCTTCATATCCAAAATGTCAAGCCCAGCTGAAGAATGATAGAAAGACCCAGGGAGTGAGGAAGAACAGAAAACAACCATTTCTGAATTTAAAATGGAGTTCTACCACCCCCTGCTGGACCAAATGAGCAACACACAGGAGGCTAAAAAAATGCTTAGAATTGAATACAGTGGAGATATTTTAACTTGTCTTATAATTTATGTTTTCTAAAAAAAAAAAAACAATTTTCATGCCACACTAATATTATAACATTCTGTGCAATTACCACACATCACAAAACGACATCTATTTTCTTTTTCTTTCAACACCTCCACCAATGCATGTTTTAGCATTTTATGTTCTCAAATGTCCAAACTTGTCTGGACAGCTGAAAATGCTTCCATTTATTATAAATATATTTTATGTGAAAGTGAACTATCCAAACAAAGCAAGATAAATTCAGATCTGTCTCTATACAGATAAACACAGATAGCTTCCACAAATTCTCTCAGGTTATTCTAGTAAGCAATTCATTTTTTTTTTCCTCAAGAGATAAAAATCTCACCAGTTCTCCACAAGCTAAAACATCCCTTCCAAGTGTAATTACAATCTGACGCTATAAAAATTTTCAACCTTGATGTATTAACAAGGGTGGGGGGAAGCTGAGAATGAATGACTGCAACACATGCCTAGTTTTACCCATTTGCCTTCTTACACACAACATCCATGGCCCCTCTCTTAGTTTCAATAGAAATAAACCATCACCGTTCACTTCAGAGTCAGGAATTGGGGGCTTGAGAAAAGGAGGAAAAAAAAAAAAGAGAGAGTGTCTAAAAATTGAATTTCTTGCACACGAGAGAGAATTCACAAACGAGTTTAATGCTGATAGTTTCTGCTGCTTCTGTAAAACATCCTCGTCCCCTTTCCTTCCGCAACCTGTGATATTTAACTGTTAACACACACCAACAGACTCATCCAATTTTTGATCATGAACATCAGAAAAGCCAAGAACCCAGAGAAAGAAGCAGTTTGCCTCGAGCTCCTGCGCCCTGATGCCAATCTCCAATTCTGTATTTTCTCTCATTTCAGGGTCTGCACAGAACAGATCTAATCTTCAGCGGCAGCTAAAACCCACAGTGAACATAATAACAACAATAACTATAACTTTAGTTCTCGCATGTAATTCTTCTGCTGCCTCCCTCTGCCCCCTCGGTCGGGTGGAAGGGGGAGGGAAAGTAAATGCAAGAAGGCACCACACTCCTACCTTGCCCGCTACTGACAAGCAACCCGAGCAGGTAGAAGGAGAGGAGGAGGCTCATGTTCAGGACGTGACACCGGAGGACAGTTCCAAAGTTATTAAGTCCAGCCCTGGAGAGAGAACCTTCCGCCGCCACGGCCGCCTCAGCTAGAGCCGCCGCCGCTCCCGGGGTGCCCGGCCGCCCGCAGCCCGCGCGCTCCTCCTCGCAAAGTGACTGCAAGCTCCGCTCCTTGCCGCACTATATCCAGGCAGCGGCGGCGGCGGCGGCGGCGGCAGCAGCAGCAGCAGCGGCCGCCGCGGCGGCAGCAGAGCCGGGCGGGGAGGGAGGCGGGGGCGGGGGCGCGGGGAGGGGCGGGGAGGCGCGGCGCGGTGTATCCCTCCGCGCCGCACGGAGGCCGCTTCTCCCGAGACGCGCGGCCCCGGGATTCGTCCGCAGTCGCGCTCGGAGGCGCGGGTTCGGTTCCCGCTGCCTCCAGCTGGGGTGGCCGCGGCGATCCGGCTGGCGCGAGCGCGTCTGCGGGTGGCGGCCGCACGCTCAGGCTCACGGCGATCTGCGCGCCGACTGACGCCCGCCGGGCCGAGGAGGGAGGGCAGTCGCGAGGTCCTGCACCGCCGCTGGCCAGTTCACGGAAGTGGGCAGCTTGAGCTGATCCTGAGTCTCCAGGAGGCCACCCGGCCTCGCGCTCTAATCGCGCCCGGACTTAGCAGGAGCCGGGGATCTGGGGGCGGGCGGTATTTTCTGCTGCTTTCATTCCTCCAAGGGCGTGGGAGGGGGAAGAGTCTGTCTCTCCCAGGCCTTCCCTCTCCCTCAGCTCTTCAGCAGGCTGCCCCCTTCCCACGCTTTCCACTCCGCCGCGGCACAGGGGGAGCGGTGTCCTCTGAGTGTCTACACTGCCTGTCTCCTCGGGCTCTAGAGGGGAGGCGGCAAGATGGGAACGGTGTTTCTCATCCACGTCGACCCACTGTCGTTAAGAGCAGGTACTTGAGGGAGAGAGATGGTGGGGAGGAAGGGGGGGCTGAGATGTTGGAGGGGCTGCGTTCAACTCGGCTGTCAGCGTCAGCCGCGTCCTTGGACAAGTCCAAAGTCTCCCTTGGCCACTCTCAGCGGGCTCTGCCCTCGGTCCCCGCGCACAGCACCGGCCAGGTCCCCGCGAGGTGTGCGACGAGCCGGGTGCTGGAAGCACAGCGATGAGACGCGCGCGGGTCCGTCCCCAGCCCGCCCACCGCGCACACTCACACCTGCGTGTGCGCGCGTGGAAACGGGAGCGGTGAGGCCGTGGCGGGCGCCCAGAGCTAACTCTCCTCCGCCGAAGGTTGGGGCATATCAGTATTCTCCAGGAAGGGTAAGGAAGGTGTGTCAGTGTGATGTGAAGCCGGCGGCGAGAGCGAGCCAGAGGCAGACTCCCTGGCCCCAGGGCCCTCGCTGGTCAGCCTAGGTCAGAACGCCCGGCTGGAATGGACCGAGGACCCTTTCACGTGCACATTCCTTCTGCTTCCTTAGGGAACCACCGGGCCTCACCTCACAGCCAGGGAGACCACTGGCCATTTGCATATCAGCGAGAACACAGAAAGAAGAAGTGGGAGGGGCGGGGGTAGAAATATTGCAGAGCTCAGAATCCAGACCCCCCTCCCTCCCCTTCCCCTCAACACACACACCCGGATTTGATGCTGAAACGCAGGTTTCCTTGCTTGGAGGGGGCGGGGCGGAGGGCGTAAGGGTAGAAACAAGCTAACATGGGTAGGGGAGATATTGTCTGCGATTTGTGTCCCCCAGGCAGAACACAATCTTCTTACACAGAAGATTCACTTCCTTGGCAAGTGGGATGGGTTTTTGAGACTAGTGGAGGCCAAGAAAGCTCTCCACATACACCATGGCTGGGCTCTAAGCGATGGGCTGTCAGCACCTCCTCGCAGTTTGAGAACCTCTTCCTTCCACCTGATTTTATAGTACATTTAGGACACTATACCTAGGAAGTTCTTCTGTCAGAGCTCCCGCCTCACACCCTTTCCTCATTCTGGGAGGCACCAACTGTACTTAAGTAAGGTCACAGTCAGCTCTTTGCAGGAAAGGGTGGAAACAGCACAATCGAGGCGTGAATAACAAATGACTCCTTTATTTTCACCAGTTCTTAATCTCTCCAGGGAATCAAGAAATACTACACACACACACACACACACACACACACACGCAGTCACAGAACAATTTTGAAAGAATACTACCTGTGCCAAATAGCCTCTTCGCCCCAAAACCTGAATTTTTCAATGTGACATCAGGAGCAGTCAAGTACCCAAACATACACAAACACACACACACACACACACACACACACACACACACACACACACACCTGGTGTCTTGACAATTAGATTCCCCACCTTTTTTTTTTAATTTTTTAAATGTTTATTCATGTTTGAGAGACAGAGCATGAGTGGGGCAGGGGGAGAGAGGGAGACACAGAATCTGAAGCAGCTCCAGGCTCTGAGCTGCCAGCACAGCCCGACGTGGAGCTCAGACTCCGGAACAGTGAGATCATGATCTGAGCCGAAGTCGCGCTCAACCGACTGATCCACCCAGGTTTCCCTAGATTCCCCTCTTTATTGTTGGGAGTCATATTACTTTTATCTCAGACATAATGTTAAACTATGCCAGAGGAGAATTTGACTGGCGCCCTTTGAGGTTATTTAGCTATTAAATCTTCTCAGAATATGGTGGAGGGAGGAGAGAAGGTAGAAGTCATCCATCAGACATTAATGAAATTTCTCAGTAGAGGTTTATATCACAAGACCAGGTACAAACTATCTGTGAAGGGAGGGAAGAGGAAGAAAGTGTGTGTGTGTGTGTGTGTGTGTGTGTGTGTGTGTGTACCTACCACTGTGTGTAGAAACAATGAACAAATAAAGCATTTGTACTCACAAATATACAAAGGTGATGCAGATATCAATCCTACCCTCAGTTTTCTAATGATGTTATTGAATAGATCAAGAATAAACACAAGATGTGATCATTTAAAACAAGTTGTAAAAATGCCATAAGAGAAAACAAACTGCTATTGTGACATAAAAGGAAGGGATCGTTTCTGAATGGAGGATTGAGAAAGGCTTCAGAAGCTTTGAAGAAAGACAAGAAATTAGATAGGTAGCAACAGAGGCAAGAGAGAGAGGAGCTTAAGCAAAGCCTGGGGATGTGAAAGCACACGGCTTGCATAGAGAACACAAGTCTCATTTGAAAACAGTACAGAGTGTAAAAATAGAAGGATTGGATGGAAATGGAAAAGGGGTCGAGGACCATGCAGTGCTTTAAAAAAAAAAAATCACAGTAGTATTTGCAGCTTCTCAGAATATAAGTCCAGACATGTGTGGTCAAGAAGAGCCAGAAAGGCAATCTCTCCATCCCTGGGGCTGAAGCTGTGAGTCGTGAGCCCATGGGAAGATTATCAACCCGGGATCTCTCATGGGGTTTTATCCATAGCTGGCCTGAATTTGTGGTGCTGTGAGGTCTCCTTTATAGCTGGTTGACACATACTCCTGGTTGACACATACTCCAAGAAAGCCTTCCCACACTTGCTCCAACTGCTTCTCAGCTAAAGGCTGAAGTGCCTCTCCAAAGCTCCTTTGGAAGCACATTCATTTGCCACTGCAGCGATGAAATGATATAAAGCCCAACATTTGCCTTGGTCGGTTCTGCTTCGCAACAGATTGCCAGCGTGAGGACAACATGTAGAAAAATCACCTTTGCCCACTGACCTCCTTCCCACTCCAAAGGCATGCTTCCAATGTGCAGGCTCTGAATACTATTATCAAATATACCAAATCTCTGAACATGACTGAGCCATGCATACTAGGTAGGATAGAAAGGGTATAGAAATGGATCCTCCTTCCTTTATGTGACTCATAATTGCATATAAGACTGATTATCATAGCCTCCATCCACCCAGGAAAGCGTTCTGAGGCTTAGATGGGGCTTTCGTTATTTCATTTATAAAAATAAGTGAAAGTTGAACAGAACTCAGGAAGCTATGAAGAGCTGAGTAGTAGGAAATAACAAGACTGGCTGCATGGTTAAATGAAAGAAGATAAATTTGTTTTAAAAGAATCAATAAAGTGAACATGAAGGAGTAGCAGAGAGATAGAAAACGATAAGGTGCATTATGCGTGGAAATTATCTTCTCAGAGAGATTCTACCTCTTCTATCTGCAATGTGTTCTTGCAAAAGGCATGCAAGTATACAGTCCACACATAGATCCCGGGCATGAATGGTGGGTTCTGGGCAGGATTTAAGCATTATTTCTGTTTGTATATTTCTGATGTTATTTTTGTTTAGTGTCTGTTAACAGATTCATGTGTGGTAAGATCACACTATTAGGAAATGGGACATTCTGTGTGTTCATTTATGTTTTAGAAATGTCATAAACCATTATACCTATTCATTTACTTGTCTAGAAAATTGCCTGTTTTGACTTTTTTTATTACCACAAAGGAAAAAAAACCTCACTGTATATATAGGCAGAGAGCCTGAAACCTCTATAAATAGATTACCCTGCTCTTGCTTTTCCTTGTCCATTAATGCCACTTTTTCTAACAGTCGTGCCTTTGAAAATAATTTCAACATTCTTGATACAACAGCACTTTAGATGCTTTACCAGGCTATTTGTGACCATCTGACAGTAGCTACTTTGGCAGTAGAATTTAGATTTTTTTTTAATATTTTTTTATTTATTTCTAGGAGAGAGAGAGACAGCGTGAGCAGGGGAGGGTCAGAGAGAGAGGGAGACACAAACTCCAGAAACAGGCTCCAGGCTCTGAGCTGGCAGTCAGCACAGAGCCCGATGCGGGGCTCAAACCCACGAACCGCGAGATCATGACCTAAGCGAAAGTCGGCCGCTTAACCGACTAAGCCACCCAGGCGCCCCTAGAATTTAGATTTTAAATTGTAATTTTGTAAATTTGTAAATGCTTTACTTTCTTAGCCGTTCTATTTGAAATTAAGAAACAGAAGAGAGAGAGAGATTTATGATATTTGAGGCACCCTAATTGTCACATATTCCTACTTTTTAATTTCTTTCAAGATACATGGGGTCATTTTCCTTCATGGCTACTTCATGTTCCCTCTGGGCAAATAACCGCACACTTCGCTCTGAAATTATGCAATAA